AAAGGGAGCATAGCCTTTTCCACCCCTTCTTGAGAAAGATTAAATTAGTTATCTGTACTTGCTTGCCCATGTGGCTTTGCATCTAGCTACCACCAATTCCTGTAGCATTTCTCAAAATTTAAAGACTGGCTTCACATGCTAACTACACCAACATGTGACCTGTTGGATTTTGGCTTAGCACAATGTATGGAGGCCAGAGGGTATCTTTGCGAGAGTAATGAGTGAGAAGATGCCACATTTTCCTGGGCAGTCCTGATTTAGCTAATGTGGGGATGATCATAATGAACAGGTAACTCAAAAAAATCTAGCTGCCACATCTTGGAGGCATTACTACTACTGTTTTTCATTTTGTTTTGTTTTAGGGACAGATCTACATACACAGAACTGACTTTAAGAGAACTAGCCAGTATATTTTGCTGCACAGCGGGAATTAAGGCTGGCAAGTTATTTTGTACTCAAGGCTGAAAATTTGCTTTCTATCTGTCCTGAAAAAGGTTTGATAATGATTTTAGTATCTACTTTATTTTCATATCTGTGTTAAACTTTTTATATTGTTTTAAAATGCGGTTAGGCAGCCTGAGTTCCCCCAGAGTAGAAAGGCTACTTCTAAATCAAACAAACAACATTAATATTTTGTTTCTCTTTTGTGATATCCCAAACTAGTTTCCTAAAAGGACCACTTTGCTCTGCTTAATGATTAGACAGGCTAAAGTATGCTTCAGCTCTGCATAACGGTTGGGTCAGCTTTGACCTTAAACTGGGTGGTGGGAAAGGAGGAGTAGGAGCAAGAAGGAAAACATCTTGAAGCAGCAACAACTGAAGTAAATGTGGAGCAGAGTCCAAGAACTCCTGTTCTTCAAAGAAAATGGTTATAGCTGCGATTCTACCTCAGTGGACAGGTTCTAAAAGAGTGGCATATTCTGGTCAAAATGTTCCAGAATCCTCTAAATACTTGAAACAATGACTTCACCTTGCCTCAATCTGGGGCAGTTGCCATGTGAACTGGGCCCATGTTAAATCAGTGTGTGTTCATTAACATTTCCTTGGCATGAAGGAGCTCATCTACTTTGTGACAATACCATGACTTATCTACAATTCTGCCTTTTAGTCCAAGAAAAAATTGACTCCTTTCTTGGAAATAATAGCAGTTCCAGCAAGAAAACACACACACCAACCCACATTTGGCAGTTTGGCTGGTCTTCTTCATGAAAATTGAGCCAGGTATCTGCTCCATATTTAGATTAGGCAAAAATCCCATGTTTAGATGTCCCAGTGGATTCTGTTTAGGATATGGAGCCACTCCCTCTCATAACAAAGACATGTTGGTCTTCTAGATTCAGCAATGCTTTTAGCAAAGTGGGATTTTGCTGCTTTTGGCAGAAGAATTTGATGTGTGTGGCAGTTTCCACAGAAGCTTGTTCAAATATAAAGACCCTATTTTAATAACAGATCTATTGCCTCCATGTTGGGGGGAAATTGTTTGGACATGTTTGGGGAATTATTTGCTGTATGTTCATCAAGCCAGCAAACTTTTGTACTCTGATTAATCTGGAAACCAATCAGAAAACTCCCTTTTAAAAAAGGTAAATCTAGTTGCATTATCTCCTCTTCCAGTATGTTCAGCTAGGAAGAAAGCTGGTTAAGTTTTCTAGATGAACAACATAAAATAATAGCATTTGGAAAGGTCCAGTTTACTTCTCTCTGGTTATAAGGAAAGCATCAACACATCATTTAGGACAATTCCCTTATCTTGAACCACTTCTCTCCTTTAAAGTACAAGGGAAATTGACCTGTTTTAAAGCTCACATTAATCCTGGATTAAGATGAAATATACATATTCATCCAGGTTCATTGGGGCATTGCTTCCAAGCAAAGCCCCTTGACTATGCTAAGAAATTTTATTCAGGCAGCTAGAAGCAGAATTAAAAAAGATTTATGGACAGCACAATACCAAACACCAAAATCCTTCTATAATGTTCATTTAGAAAGAAGTATTGTACCACTGATTGCTTCCAATGTTAATTAAAAATGTCCTTTTTGCAGGTTCTTCCTTTTCATTTCTTATTAAAGCAGGACAGCTGATTATTTGTTCTTGAATAACCTTTCTTCATTTTCTTTTATTGTTGGCTTTTTTTTAAGGGATTATAATTACTACTGTCCCATCATTATTTTGTCCTCTTATATAATGGGACAGCTTTATTTCTCAATAATTTTTTTTTAAAAGGAGAGGAAAGTTGGAATGAGTGCCATTCCTCCCCACTTCCCTCCCTCTTCTTTGCACAAACAGAAAATGACATCCAGGGCCAATTATGAGAATCCATTCAGGAGAGAATTAATAGCTTGTTCAGTGGCAATTCTTCTGCCATGCTGAACTGGAAGCAATGAAAGGGCAGATCCTGAATGGCATAACTTTTAATTAAAGGCACAGATCAGGCAAGAACCCTAAAAAAACCCTTCAGTACCATTTTTCTCTGTTCTTGTTGGACAAGCTAGTTCTGCAGCTGCATTTAATGTTTTTCGGTGGCTAGAAGACAAACACTGGCAACTGTCAATAGAGTCTCTGCAAAATGTACCCTTCTGGCAGCATTCAGATTAATTCATGTAGGTTACCTAGATATCTATTGTCCAGTATTGTCTGACTATAGGGTGCATATATGTGTAATACCCAAGCCAGTTGGCTTCTGGGTGCAATTCAGGGTGCTGGTTGTCACCTTTAAAGCCTTCAGGACCTGTATATTTGCAGAACCATCTTTTCCAAATAGTATTGCTCCCAATAAGATCTACTAGTGTGGGCTTACTCTATGTGCCTTTGCTCAAGGACTGCAATTTTCAGGGAGCACGGAGGCAAGCTTTTTAAACCATTGTTCCCTTTCTCTGGTATAGCATTCCCCTGGGTATCCAGATGAACCCCTCCTGGTTTTGAAAAAGCCCTTTAAAACATAGCTATTTTATCAGGTTTTGGGGGCTGGAATGGAATTCTGTTCCCTCAATCAATAGAAACTGTCTTTGCTTGGTGAGTATTGAATAGATTAGATTTCCAGTGCTACAGTGTACGTTTCTATGTATTGTTATTTTTAGGAGTTCCAGTTGCTGCTATTTTACTATAATGTGTATTGCTTGTTTTTAACCCAGTTGATAAGGGTTAAGATGTACTGCACATGGCTCAGAATTGGAACAGAATTGGTACAGAGTTTTGATTAGAACAGTTTATAATATAAGCCCAGTGAAATAAATCAGTAGTAAAATACTAAATCAGACCATTAGTCCCTCTAGTCTAACATTATTGACACTGACTACTAGTGGCCATTCAATATTTCAGAGTAGAGTTTTTCTTTGCCATATGTGGAGAAGCTGCGTTTGAATCTGGGTCCTCTGCATTATAAGATGCTCGAAGTGCCTACATCATCATCATCATCATCATTGCAGTCACAATTCAAAGGATGGAGTTTTGATTTGGTGGCATTTCTAAGCCAGCTGTGGCCTTTACTTTTGCTCAGCTGAAGATGCTGTGGCAGCTGGATGCAACAATTGAGCAGGAAGAGTTCCTTATTCATGTTCTTCCTTCTTGGTACTAATCCATCATGTGCCACTATAATGCTTCACCTACCATACCACTACTATTTCTTTACAACTGAAAAGACCCTCTTCCTTGTTCACGTCAATAGGATATGATGCAAACCTGAGGGCCTCTGATGAGGACTGCAGTAAACAAGCAGCTCTATATGGGAGTTTACTAAGCTCAAGTTTATATTTGAAATGACTTGCATTAGTAATAGTCTGTACAGGTGCAACTGCAGTGTTAGCACCAGTTGCATGAAAGGAAAGTGACAAAACTTAAGTGTTGTGGTCTGCACTAGGCTAAAGCATGTGTGTCAGCATCATGTATATCATCTTTGTACCTTGAGAATTTTTTCCTTGATTAGTGGAAAGTGTATCACCCAAAATATCTGCACGATTAATACGGACAAAAAATTAATACCACTACCCCCCAAAAAAGGAAACAAACCTGTATGTAATTCTTTTAAAAAGAGAGTTGACAATGGCAAACATTTCAATTTATTTATGTGCCTTAAGATAGGCAGAGGATTGGACTGGATCAGCTTCCTTTCACTTTCAGGTGTGCCATTCTCTTAAGTATAGCAAGCCATCTGCCAAAATAATGACAACTCAGATTTCGTTGTGAAAATGAAGCAAACCTATTAAATTTGGAATCATTTGATATGCATTAGGCATATTAATTGAAAAAAATGCTTATGCTCAAATCAATTTCTCTCTTGCCTGTTTAGCTGCATACAATGGCAGCAGTTCTCAAGGGATGACCTGCGTGTGTGAAGCCACCAACTTCTTCCATCGTAAGACTTATCAGAATCAATGCCAGGATTCATCTGCCAGGATTAAGTTTTGTGTCATCAAACTGTGAAGTGAGTACTGGGTACATTTTGTAGACCAAAATATAGTTTTACCCAACTACCCAAGATTCTGGACTCTAAACCACCCCTTTGGATCATTGTATCTATGGTTTTTTTTTATGTGGGATCAGTATTATCATGAAGGTGGTCTGATTTCACATTATCTGAATGTGGCATTCAAGTTGCAATGTGTTTTCAGCCTTTAGCAAAACAGCTCCTCACAGAGAAAAACTGGATGAAGAAAACACCCTTTTAGAGGCAGGCTGGCTATATTTCATGTCCCAGGCACAACCCTTTTTCCTTTCTATTCATGATCATGGTGAAGAGATTATTTATGTGCTGAGAACATGTTTTGCATGCCTTCTGAGATTGGTGTATAACCCCACCTCCAGATGTAACAGACTGCAATGGCTGAAATCCCAAAGCTGAACCAGAGGAACAATAGTTGCCAGAACTTCAGGAGAACCTTCTTTAAAGAATCACACCTGCTTACAGCCCTAAAAATGCATACCTGACCAACACAGGGCAGTAATGGCATTTAGTGATACTTAATACTTTTTAAGAACATCTGAAGTCCCATAATTACTTTCATTTGTTTTATTCAGATAGGACGCAAAAATACAAGCTAGAGCTTAGGTACAGGAAAATTTGAATTAGCCCAGAGAAAAGATGTACATAGTTTTTCCCAAAAAGCATTTATTTACACTGCAAGGGCTACAAGAGGGTGTGCAAAGGTATGCTAAAAGAAAAGAGGGGAATCATAAGAAATTTGCAATAAAGCAAAATATCCTAGCTGTTTATTAGTTTAGCGGAAACTCCAGTCTAACAACAATAGGCCCCATGCTATTCAGAACAAAACCACTTGCTTGTGATTTTGGGGCGGGGGGGATTGGCTGCCTCCAGGAAGCTATTGAGAGCAGTTTGTATATAGCCCAAAATGATCTTTCTCCAAGCATGCAATAGGTAAAAAAGGCAAAACTCTACTGAAGATGGCCGTGTAAAAAACAGGAAGCTCACTAAAGCAGCTGTACTTAAAATGCTTTCCACACTATTAGTTTTTGTTTTAAAATTATTCCTTTGTTTTTCAGAACAAAATGTATGTAATCTCGAGAAGCCTAGCTTCTCATTCCAGTATTCACACTCAACAATCAATAAATTGGCTATGAAAAACAAGCACAAGGGGGGGAAAACCCGATTTTTTAAAGTGAAATGCTTTTTAAGAATATCTTTGGCTATCCTTAGTTAGACCTATGGAAATGTTTGTGCTTAGTAGGCTCTGGGGATCCTTTTCCTCAAATTTATGTCTGGGTGTTAATTTACAACTTCCATCATCCCCAATAAAAGATTATGGGTTATGTAGTCCAACACATTAAGAGATGCCATTTGGAAAGCGAAGCTGAACTGCTCCTGTATTATTTCAACTAAAATTTAAGATTGGAAGCCTACTGATTTTGGATGGTGTTAAGACACGAATGTAAGCTTTAAACTTATTGCCCCCTCAACCTATTTGTTCTATGCTAAAGCAAATTAAACAAGAAATGATAATCACCAATATAAAAATAATGATTAGCTTAAAGCAGGGGTGGTAGACTTTGACCTTGCAGGATCTACTTTTTTTTTACCTCAACTCTGAGGTCCACCAGTTGGAGCCAGGTGGAAATTAATGGTTCAGGAACCTGGACATAGCAGTACCTGGTATTTCTGGGCATAAGCTCAGTCTATAAATTTTTAGCACTAGAAACTCACAAATATAGTCATATTTCTCTCCCTAACCCAGGTTTTCTTACCAAATATAGAAGAAGAAAAGACTTCTAAGTCTTTGCTAGTTTTCAACCCCTGGGAATTGGAAACCTTTCTTAATTTACAAAAACACCTGGAAATTTTCCAGCATATTTAATCAAGCTTCACTGTGTTAAATGAGATTTATTTTTAGCTCCACTGTGTTAAGTGAGATTTACTTTTAAGAAAGTTACAATAAGAAATGTAACCCTAGATGCAGAAGCAAAGTATGAAAAAGGACCATTCACAAGGAGTGAGCTGAAAGGAAAATAAGTTATCATATTGACAGAGTTCAATGCACTTTAATGCCTAAATAGTTTTTACAAAGGAATTATAGCACAAGGGAAGGCACCACAAGGCTTACAATGTTGTATCAGAGCCGCTACTGAACAACTGGTATAAGTCCCACCAGTCCAAGTGTGGTAGGACCAATACTTCCACCATAAATTGAATGAGATGCTTTGAACTATAACCTAAGACAAGGTTATAAATTAAATTATCTGTGCCATAATTCAAATATGACTTTAACGTTTGTTAGAGGACAGCTGAGGATTCTGTAAATTGGCTTTCCCAAATCTTACAACCCCTAGATGTATTAGGATAGCGATTCTTAGAATTCCTATATGATGAGATGAATTCTGGGATTTGCAGCCCCAGTACATCTGGAAAATGCCTATTTGGGAAATGCTTAACGCATAATCAGCCATTCCAGATATATTTCATAAAGTAGTAACAGTGCTATGAATTTTAACACTTCTCTTACGAAAAAGCAGCTTCTGTTTTCCATGATCTACTGTGCTAATACTTGCTTATATTGTTCTAATGATTCCAAATTATTCCTTGTTATCACTGAACAGGAGCTGTAGCCCCAAGCTGAAGAAATGTAAAGCGGCATTGAAACTAATTTTGTGGAGATGTGAGAAGCAGAAGACAAAGAGATGAACAAAGACAGCATGACACTAAGATCAGATGAGGCATAGGCAATTGTCCCTACCCTCCAGATATTCTGGACTTCAATTCCCATCAGCCTCAGAAAGCAAGAGGCTGCCAAAACAAGTAAAGGATGCCAAATTGCCTTCTTCTGAATTCCCCTGGTTAAAATGTAAGACTAGGACTAGTAACATCTAAGTTCAAATCCTAGATTAGTTCTGAAGCTTACTAGAAGGTTATAATGTAGTGGACATAATACTGGACTTTGAACAAGAAGACAATTGCTCGCTTAATTATGATATTCCCTGCCTGATTGCCTACCTTTAAGCCATGTTATGGTTTAACTAAGTTTTGCTGAACGAGCTATAATGACCTGGTTCACACATAATACTAAGCCAAAAATAATGGTTTACAAAACACAATGTTTAAAACACAATGTGGTTTGGTTGCTTCTATGAACTCAGACATTGGCCCCAGCCACTCTTGACCAGCCTAAGCTATCTCAAGGAGCTATTGAGCTGAGAGAGAATCATTTACTCTGAGGTCTTTGCTCCTTTGAATTTTAAATAACAGGAGAGAATAAATATCTCAACAATGATTAAGTCATCAAAAGGAGATGGTAAGAATTATGTATTTGAAGCTCTGTTAAAGAGGAGCTTAAGTGAAGGCACTACAACACTGTCTGAAAAAACTGGAGCTTTAAAATGCAATAATTGTTCTAATAGTCCCACAGAGCTCATTGATCATTGTGCAGTTGTGCTCAACACACATTCTCAAAGGCACTTGTTATACAGGGCAAGGAAGCTTGATGGTTGGAAACAATGGGATTTGTAATCCCAACAGATCTGGCATGATATGGTTGGGCAAGACTGGGTGCAAGGAATTAAAAACCAAGTTTCCTTTCACCTCTAATTTCTATTCTTTTGGATTTAGAATATTATGTCTTCTTTGCCTTTGACCCATACTGGTTACCCTAGGAAGTCTGAAGGAAATTAAAGGAGTCTAATTGTGACAAAGTCCAAGATGATCCTTCCTGGGGAGTTGCCATATATAGTCCAGTCTGAATGAGATGAGGGTCAGTTGGTCTGTTCTTAAGGAGACGATCAGGAGGACCACCTATCTTCCAGACCAGGATGATTAGTTATTCTTCAGACTCTGTATTTTGCTTTGCCATGGTTATTGATAACACATAAGTGCTGAAACAACAGAAGTTTAGGATCACCATTCACTGAAGGCAAATAGTATTTATGCAACCAGCTATGCACTACATTCCCTAGAAAATGCAAAGTGCAGAAACATAGGAAGTTAAATACCAAGTTGGGTCACTGGCTTATCTAGTCCATTACTGTCTGTCAGGGCTGCATAACTACCTTTGGTTTTTGGGCAGCATGCCTCAGGCCACCCCTGGATAAGACTGGGGCCCCACAAAAAAATAGGCAGGGGCAGACCAGTTATATCCAGTTACATATGATTATTCTTCAAGAATGTAATAATTCCCCCTACTGCCACATTAAAAATTACTATTTGAATGGTCTCCGCAGGCCATATTCAAGGCTTTGTGAGGCCACAATGAGTCCTGGCATCCCTTATCTACATTGACTAGCACAAACTCTCCAGGATTTCAGACAATAGACTTAATCTATTTGGAGATGCCAAAGACCGAATCTTTGCATTTGGACCCTACATTCTACCAATACCCATTCTCCCCTGCTCTTATTTTCCCCTTCTGTTAATATCCTACAACAGAAACACTTCTCAAATGACTATGTAATAAAAAAGCTTATTTCAAGGAATCAAGAGTCCTGAAACTTACGTTTAGGTCTCTGAAGTACTCGTTGTAGTCTAAGGCGTAGCCCACCACAAATAAATCTGGAATTTCAAATCCATAATCTACCACAGGAAGAAGAAAAAGAAAAAGGATATATTGTTAAAATGATAATCAGAGGTGCTTTTTTTTCTTTACATAGTAGTTCAGTAACCTGAAAAACATCTTCATTAGCCAAATCCCAGCTATGTCTGGTCTAGGAAGGCTCAGATGGGAATATTTTACAACTGAAGCAGTCTGATCCCTTAAATCAGAGCTGTCTAGAGGTGTCCAATTAGGTCACATATGCTGTCCCAAAGTGATCCTCTTGGTTTTGATACAGAAAAGGGAAGGAAATCTAAATATTTTTAACTTTATCTTATTCAATCAGATTTCTCCTCTTATATTTTTCCATCAGCTTTTAGCAACAACAGCTGGTCGTCACAGGCATCCATTCTTAAGTATTTGTCAAAATGACAAATTGCATGTTATGGCATCATGACACAAAGTCTGCCATTTCATACTTGTATCATGTGTTACTCAGAAGTACATAACAGAATTTGCATCACAATGTATGTTTTGTCACTTGCTAGAGATACCAAATTGTATTACAATCTCCAGTTGGATGCTGCTTAAATATCTTTGGATCTTGTTAATGTTTGAAGCCTCAAACCTGGTTCATGTACTGTGCTAAACCATTTTGTGATCTCTTTGTTTCTGATTTAGACAATAAACCATGAATTTCTGTTTGCCCAGCTAATTATGGTTCATTTAACAAACTATGGTTAAACAAACCATGGCTTGATAAGCATATGACATGATTCACACAGTGACCAACTGTGAGGGTTAATGATAACAGGCATTTTTTAAAGCACTTATATAATACAACCTTGAAGGTGGCTTAATGAACATGATTTAATACCTAACATTCTTGAGAATGTCAGATTTGTGATGTTAGGCAGTTTGAGACTACACAGAGAGCTATAATTCCCACATGCAGCTACAAGGCAAGGCAGAGATTCTTGATAGCTGCATCAGGAATAAGCAAGCACATTGATGCACATGGTTTTTATAACTCTTGCTTCTTGGCTTGTGTCAACAGGAGCAGCTAAACTGATCAGGAAACCATCTGATTTTTTTTTCTTGGCTTATCATTCTAGTTTGTTAGGAGAAGAACAAGCCAAGGATCCTAATACATGCAGAAAAAGGAAAGAAGACACTTAAGTTGAGCACTGTGATCAAGAGGGCATTTTCACAGTGCGTTCTTAATACCATTTTTCAAGAGCACCCTAGTGGCTAGACATGTTGCATCTTGTCTATTTTTAGAAATGGAAGTTTTCTTTAATATCCCTGTGAACATGAATAAAATCCACAGAAGAGCACTTACAGTCCGGCCTGAATCCATCTGGTAGAGCTGTTCTTTTCACCAACAAACTATCATTAAGTAAAGAACAAAGTGTTTCCATGGTTAAAAAAAAGGTTCAAATAATTTAGCCTGTACAAGTCAAGATTCGCTAAACTGAACCATGGCCCATATTATGAATGGCCACCCTCCCTTATTCCAAGATGAATTATGGAGATGTCTAGCTGGGTAATGTCTATTTGGATGGGCAGAGGCTCTCCAGTGACTCTCTTCAAATGCTAATTGTTTCTTGTAACTGGACATGGCAGAGTTGGAACTTAGGTCTTCTGTCTTTTCTTCCAGCAGAAGTTAGAATCACAGAATTAAAGAGCTGGAAGGAGTCCGACTCCCTGTTCACTGCAAGAATCCAAATTAAAACATTCCAGATAAATGTATATTCAGCTTCTGCTTGAAGACATCCAGCAAAGAGAACCCACCATTTTCTGAGTAATTTGCTTTACTGTCAAACTGTTTTTACCATTGAGAAGTTCTTCCTAATGGTACACTGGAGTCTGCCTTCTTGTCACTTAAGGCCATTATTCTATGCTTTGCATTCTGGGGCAAAAAATAATGGGTCATGGCTTATTCTGTGTGACACCTCTTCACGTATGTGAAGAATGTTATTATATCTCCCCTTTTCTTCTTAAACATAGCAAGCTCCCTTGGTCTCTGTTTGAGAAATAGTGTCTAGCCCGCCAATTGTTCTCTCTGCCTTATTCTGTTTTCACTCCCACAGGACTTTGCACCCAGCATCTTGATAATCCTGGTTGCCATCTGAGATGTTGAAAAGGTAATGGGAGCAAGATCCCAATGGATATCCTCTCTTTGTTTTCCCATCTCTTAGCATCTGCATCAGATGCCACCATAGACATCCCATATAGAAAGCAGATGGCATTACACTTTTGGTAAGCAATCTCTCTTCAGGGATGCCCTTGTGGTATACAAGGGAAAATGATTAAATACCTGGAGATTAATCATGTAAACTGTACTTTATTTAATTTTAATTACATTCAAATGTAAATTAAATCAAATTTTGTTTTTGCCCTAGCCATACCAGTTTATTTGTCTTGGCTTCCATTTTTGAGAAGTGCAGTCCTCAGTATATCACTAAGATGCCAAATGTTGTCCAGGTTCTTGTGTGAAAAAATTTTCTGCTCTAAATGGAGATGCAGCCATAGAGGCTAAGCATACTTACTTAGAATTAAGCCCGATTAAAAACAGTTTAACTTAGTTCTAAGTAAACAGAAGGATTGTACCATATCTCTCCACCTTCTAAATCTAATCCAATGTGCTGTTTTGTTTCCTTTCTATAACTTTGATTAGGCAAAACAACCCAAGTGCTGGTCTATTTTGATGTGCTCTCAGTTCAATGGCCTTTCAGGGTTCCAGCAGAGAGCTTTTACCAAACACACCCTAATATTTTTAATACTTAGAGAAAGCCTGTGCATGGTTCCTTCTCCTGAACTATAACATGGTTTGTTCAGCTTTTGGTTTAGCACCAAGTGTTAATGCTGCCAAAATGGTTGGTAAGCTATGGTTTAATATTACTTTTGAACTTAGCTAAGAAATCACAGTTAAGGAAATTATGACTTTGCACCAGATTGAATCAAGCCTGAACCTGGGACCTATTGCACAGGAAGTACAATGCTCAACTTTCAAGCTATAGTTGTTCACGAATGAACACTTACCTTGCTACCTTAACCATTCTGGGCTTGTATTTTTTAATACTGTCAAGGAGCGCTTTCATAGTCCTTCCAGTTCCAATGATATCCTTGGCAAAGTGCAAAATGTACAAAGGAAAAAGTGTCAGCAAAACAGTGGAAAGTGCTGTATTTTAACATTTTAAATTATATTAAAAATAAACACACAAAACATATTGTTACATTTTTAAAATAATACAGTAATATTTGTTTCTAAGAAAAAGCAAAGGCCTGGTCTTCCAATAACTTTTTAATCTGAAATTTTAAATAGAAGATGATTTACAAATATTCTATAAATACTTTCTGTTAAATTATCTATTTTTACTATTGTTTGGCATTTAACCAGCTATTCATAAATTACTGGTATTTCTCAAATTTCTAAAGTATATTATTTTAGCAACTAATCATAAGTTCATGCCTAACATTTGGTCAACTTCATAATTTCAGATTTCATAATATCATTTTGTTCAGTGATCAGTCTATGACGAATCCACAAACTTTGGACATCCTTTCAGTACCTTATTGTTTGCAAGTAGTGACAAGGACAAAAACAAAAAACAAAAAACCCAGAAAGTATCAGACATAACATTATTTGATGGTTGGAAATTGGGTAAGCCATGGGAATTTTATTTTTTTCCACTTAAGGTCATCAATATTGATCTACTGGCTAATTAAATGCTTACAACAGCCTTCTCTGATCTGGTATCCTCACAATTTTGGGGCAACACAACCCTCTGAATTCCTTGTCACTGTTGACCAAAGCAAATTATGGAAGTTATAGCCCCAACATATTTAGAGAGTGCCAAGTTGGAGAAAGATGTATAAAAAAAGATTTTCACTTTTTTTTTTGCTGAATTCACAAATTCTATGTGAATTCTATGCCTATACACATTAAATATAGTAAGAAATCCACATAAACTGCTCTTTGACATAGACAAATATATGAACTTACCTCCACAATAAGGACATTCTGCAACAAAATAAAGGGAAAACGTTTAGTTAGATAGAATGTAACTGAGTACACTCTTCATCTGTTCAAAATCTTACCACATAATTGCTTTCTGGTTCTCTTTCACCATGGCTAGCCTTTGTTTAAGTGGACTTGCTCTACTCCAAGTCCACTTTCTTTACATGTAAGCTGTAAGACTCTATAGAAATCTAAGATTATATAAAATATTAAAATATTAACAAGAGATCCCATATTTTGCAGGTGGACAGCAACAAAGAAGATCACATCACCTAAACTCAGTTGCAATTCATAAACAAGTTACTACAAAACAGTACAAACATGAGTCTTAACCTGCCAATGAGCAATTTTCTCAACACCCCTTTGCTATCACAAAAAAGTCCCCAGGAAAATGGGTAAATTCTCCTTACCCAAAAGCAACTGAGGAAGAAGTTTACTTCTAACTTGATATGTGAATCAGGTATTTGAGAAGATTGCACACAATGAGCCTTTTTCCACTGCTAAACTGAAATGTTTTTTACCTAACATTGAATCAGCAGAAAACTATAGCAGCATGACATTTACTGTTTCTGCTCCTGATCCTTATCCTGCTTCAAGTCATTGTGATCACCTGGCTTCTATCCAAAGCCTAACAGGATTCCTATATCTCGTGTCTGTCCTTGGACCGTACTGGAATCAGAGGGATAAGACTACTTCAACGCTACTATAGCTAAAAAAGATGTTGCCATGGGATTTTTGTGCACTAATTAGGTGCATGTGGAGAAAAAGGCCCGAAGATTTCATTAAAATAATTTACTCTGATTTACAGGAGGTTCTAATAGGCAATCGTGATTGGCTAGTGTAGTCTCAGAATCTTGCTCTGTACAAAACCCAGCATGTGCACTCTGTAGCCACCAAAATGCTACTTTAGGAACGTTTACTGGACCATCTTGGAGGCTGAGCTAAATCAAGTTGGTGTTAATATAACCACTTGAACATATCTGAAAAATTGTGCTAGCAAGTACTACCCTGCAAACCTATCTATCTGTATCTGTATCTTATCATCGTCACCACTACCCCCAACATTTTCTAATCAGTTTATGCTTCGCATACATTGTTACAGATTATCAGCATTATCAAGCCTGCATTGCTGATGGGGATTTAAGACTGACTTGCCAGTTAGGTGCCATGTAAGCCCTCTTTTTCAAAGTTAGAAAAGAAAAGCCATTTATGGAAAGAACTGCTTCCTTCCTAAACAGTCTCAAGGAAATCAGTTACACAATATCATACAGTAAAGCAGCCTCAGAGTAACTTGCAACTTGATCTTGCCATGTTGAAGGACAATTTGGAATTTTATGTCATTGCTAATTGCCAGAGAGCTTATACAACTTTTAAAAGACCATCTCTTTTTAGGTGCTGTCATCATTACCACCAGCTAAGCCCTCAGCCTACCTACAGCTGCTTGTGCCCCTCTCTCTGGAGGGAAAGGTCCAAATACTGACCTATATCATTAGCTGAGGTGCCTCCATATCTCTCTATTTTAGACTTTCCAGAAATTAGTCACAAGCTAGTTTGGCATTGACTGAAAAATACAGTATATAAAAATGCAACACAAATATACTTCATCCTTAAAAGAGAAGGATTGCATTGGAAACATTGGAAAAAGAAAAAGAAAAAGAAAAAACCCTATTGATTTAGCCATATTGGATAGCAAATGACCAAGAGGTTCTTTAGCAACATACCTCTATTTTGAAAATCAGTTTGCAAATCATATGCTGGCCATTCAAAAACCACACCAATTTCTTTGAAGTAACTATGAGATGCCACTTAGTTGTTAAGTCCTAACTCATGGCAATGAAGTCTTTTTCTGAAATAGACAATCAATAGCAAAACTCTATACCATCTTTGCCAAGACAAGCTCCAACCTTCAGACATTCTTAAGAGGGGAGGGGAGGGGAGGGGAGAGAGAGGGAAAGGGAGAGAGAGAGAGGGAGAGAGAGAGAACGAGAACTACACACTGTTTTCTCCTAGTTCAAAACCATTTGTCTGTAAGGTCTGTTTTTGTAAAGATCTAACAACAAAATCTTTGGAACTGGAACAGCCAGTCCAAATGTGACAGCCCCATAAAACCCAGCAATTTATATGTTGCTAACGATGAACAGAAAGCAGATGTTCCATGCTGAAGGCTGAGATGTGGATCCTTCCAGCTATGCTCAAACTGATTCTCCTTTTCCTAATGGTCCCCACTTTTATTCTGCTTGAAAATAAGTTCAATCGTCTTCTCTCCTTACACAAAACATGTAACTATGTTAACGATATCTGCAAGCAAATGGCTGTCAGCTGCATGGCAGCAAGGAAAGCTGAACATGGAACTGAGAATTTCAACATGAGCAGATGATCATAGCTGCCAGCTTATTTCTCTTGGAGAACTGTAAAGAAGGAAAAGAATTTGGGCCCTCTTAACAAGCATGTAAGTTGGCAGCATTTCCAGGCTCTTTGTTGAGGCTTAGATTGGATGCTTCCCTTGCAAAGATCACTCCTTTGGCCAAGGAGTGATCTTTACCGCTTGATCGTTCATCTGTCCTGGGCTGCAGTTGTTCAAAGAATCAGAACTTGAGTCCCTAATTCTTGTCTTCTTTGCGAAGAAAGCCAACAACCACCCTTCAGGTCAGAAAAGGGCTGAAGAGGGATGGTTACATTTCAGCAGAGCTTGACCCTTCTTTGAAGAAGCATTATGTGTAAATACAGTGGAACCTCTAGTTACGAACGCCCCTCCTTACGAATTTTTCGAGATACGACCAGCTCCGGCCCAAAAAATTTACCTCGACAGGTGAACTCCGCCTCGAGATACGAACCGGATCCGCGGCCATTTGCCCT